TGATAGCATCCTCACCACCAAATCGGTGAGAATACAAACGGAGTGCATGGGTACCCACAGAACGCGGATTACTTAGCATGGTGTGTCAATGTATATAACCATTTGAACCATTTGGGGGCTTTCTTTGCCAGGTATGAGTAAGTTGAGGATGTCGCATCGCTAAGGAGCAAAGAGGGTATTGCCACCAGGGATTTTGTCAATGACCCGAAAATGCTTCTTGGACATCCCTGACATTTTAACTTGCCGAGACCGGACTATATTTGTTGTCGTAGAAGTTCGTCGACCCCTTTGCTGGTCCTGTGGTGTCATGGGGCACCTGTCGAAAGCGTGACTTGGTAGGAACCCAGCACCACAGCCTTAACCGTCCACCTCGAAGGAAACGGTGGGACCAGAGAAGATCAGCCAGACCGATGGCCTCAGCAGTTGGAAAGATATAGTGAGGAGAGGACAAAAAAGATGCAACCTCTCCTCCCCAACAGCAGCAACACTAGCAGCAGAAAAAACAGAAGCAGCGATTGAAGCAACAGCAACAACAACAGCTCCAACAACTCGTGCAACAGGAGCAACAACAACCAGAACAGTTGCGACAGTTAAACCTGTACATGAAGGTAGAGGAAACGCCCCCACCTCAGCCCTCCTCTTTGAGAAGAGGAAGGGAGGAAGAAGAAGAGGAAGCGGAGAAGACAAGCAAAAAGTAAAAACTCATGGCTATGCAGGGTGGAGCAGGTCATGGAATATGCCAAGTCCCAATCCATACCTCCTTCGCCAGGCAGAAAAGAAAACTCCCATAAAGTTAAGGCAAGGAGTCTTCTGTCTTCTCCTTCTAGGGCTCCACCATTTCCCTCCCCAATCCATCATAAAAAAAGAAGGGCTTCCCCAAGAGATGGAACGATTTCTTATGTTGATCGTCAGCCCCTCGAGAGGGACCTTTCCTCACAGAGGAGAGCCCTCTCGGGAGGTCGACAGAGGAGCCAGGAATTTCCCTGAAGCTATCAAGAACTTTGGCGATAGACTAAAAGTTTGGGATTTTCTGTCTGCCACCAAGGACTCCTTCTCTCAGCTCAGGATGGCTCAAGTTAAGTCATCTGAGCTGAAAAAAATTATCCAAACTATATTCTGGGAGGATCCTTGTGTTGCTCCACTCCTCGCTATATAGATTCCTTAAACTAACATTCCCTACGGACGTTGGCAGTATTGTCCTATACAATACTTCGTGCAGCATAGGCTCTGGGAGCCTAGGACAATCCATCGGGGTCTTGTCCTTGGCAGATTTCCAACCAGTATGTGGCTAAGGTAATCTGAAAATGAATATCAAGCTGACATGCTTAAATGCGAGGGGCTTAAGGTATCTGGGTAAAGTTGCCCACCTGCTTCTTGACCTCTTGTCCTTTGGTGTGGGTGTGACTGCGATCTAGGATTTCGATGCTCATGTGTTGTCTAGCGAGTTGGTGTCTATTCAGAATATGGGTATAGGCCATAGTTGTTTCCTTGCTGGTTAAGCATATCTTAGGCGTGAGTGTGAACTATATCCTTGTCGATGCGGGTGGCGGTGCGTTTGATCGTGGCCAATATTTCCCTGAAAAATGTTTCATTTTGGCTTATGCACCCAATGAGAGGGCTGGAGATGTGGACGTGAGCTTTTACGTGGCTATCTACCCAGGCGGTTAGCTACCTGAATAGAATGTTAGTGAAAAGGGTTGATCTAGATCTGCTAGATTGTCTCACTGGCTAGGCTATTCAGACCACAACAATTTTTTTTGTGCCCGGATGGCATTTAGACTCTAGGCCTAGAGAGGCTGGACACTGGAAGTTCAAATTGTCCTTACTGGGCAGGAGTGACCTCCAGCAACAGCTGACTACTGTGAATTAGGCCAGCCTTGATTTTCTTTTTTAATCACCTACAGTCACAACGGGGTGGATTCCTGACGTTCCTCACCCCTGGTTAGCTTTTTCGTTCACCTAGTTAATGCGAGTAATTGTTGTTCCGGGCCTGTCCGCGGCATTCTATTTTTTTATGGTCCATGGTCAGGATTCCCAACCTCTTCATTTTGTTTTTGTCCACTTTATTAACTTGACTGGATTCACCTTTGAATTTCCCATTCTGCAATTTATTTTTGTCCCACCCTCACCTCTAGCGAGTGAGCTGCTTGATTCTGCTTATCGCGGAATTAGTGGTCACTCATATTTGTCTGTGAAGTGAATGGGTCCTACTAACATTTTATTTTTACTTTGAACGTTTTATTGTACTTTATTTTCATCCCCTCTCCCTTTTAATTTCATGTCAAAGATTTTTTTTTATCTATTTAAAAAAAAAAGAAAAAGCAAAAGCGAAAAAAACAACAAAAAAACAATTTGTATATTAGCAAAATTTTATGCCATTGGCGTTTTATTTGGTTCCCTGTGAATATGCGTTATGTTGGATTGAATGGGGATGGATGAATCGAATCACAATGATTTAGTCAATTGTAAGAATGAATTGGTCGTGAATCAGATTAGCTAGGTGTAGGATAGTCAACGATAATAAGCCGTCTCCACTTCTCCTTCGGCCTTGTGCCACAATTGTATATTACAATACAACTCGTTATTCTGTTTAAAGAGCGAATTCTTGAAACGTGCGTCTGCTTGATTGAATTTTATCCCCTCATAAAATTCTACTACAGTCTCTCTTCCAGCTTATTGCTTCCCAGTCAACTTTGAATCAAAGGTTTACACATGCAATATCAATCGTTATCTTTTGTTTTCTTAATTCTTGTTCTTTTATTGTTCTTATTTTTCTCATATTATCTCTCACTTAGTAACCCCTTGCATCCCAGTGGCTTTCTTGCCATGCTTGGGATGAAATGGGAAAAATAATTAGTTAACATCAAAAATTGCAAAAATGAAAATAAAAATCATTACTGAATGTTTTAAAAATTTGCAAATGTCGGAATTGTCCAATTAATTTTCATTATTTATTCATTAATGAATAGGTGATTTTACTTTGGATATATTATTTTTGTGGTTAGTTTCATCCTCCCTAACTTTTCAATATCTTGCGTGTACTTTTTAATTTGGGTGGGTTTCATGAAATCTTTTTACAGTTATATTAAAGAAAAATCTCTGAAAAAATCAGTGAAAAAAAAAAATGCAATAAATTAATGCTGCAATATCAAATGTGACCATACTGAAAATTTGTCCCAAACCTTACCAAAAATCATGCAATAAAATTCAAATTTTGAGAGTTGATGTTGCATAATTTAATAAAACATTATTTTCTTTAAGATTTGCTTAGAAAAAAATATTAACTGAATATTTATTTTGAAAAATATTTATTTAAAAAATATTATTTATAATTTTTCATCCCATTGCTGTTCTTAACAAGTGTTCTTTATTATCAATTATTAAAGACAAGTTTGAAGAATTGAAATGAAAACATTAATGCTATTTTCGAGTATAAACATTTTTTAAAAGAATTTTATTTTTTTATTTTTATTTTTGCTGCTGTTACAATATTTTGTTACGGATGTTCAAAAGGAAATAATTGTGATTTACCTACTTTGAACAACTCTTTCCTATTGAAAGATTAATAGATGATTCAATAAGTTTTAAATTCAGAATAATTAAAATGAAATATACAGGTAAGAAAATATTAAAAAAATAATAAAAGCAATGAATTTAACCAGTTTAGTTCATTGCTTTTATTTTTTAATATTTTTAATTAATTTCTTTTTTATACTTATAATGTATAAAAATAAAATTATTCATTCTACTAAGCAGAAGCTTCATAAAAGCGTATAAAATAAAAATTTATATTCTTAAACTATTAAACCGTATAATTTATTTTTTAAAATAAATATACTAATTCAGTATAGGTTTTAAAATGAATTTTTAAAGATGAAAAAGCTTTCTTGAAGCTTTCACTTTAATTTAGCTTTAATTGAAAGCTAAAGGATTTAAAATTTACTATTTCCAGTCAGCAAAATACTCTATGATGTTTTTTCAAACAGAAATTATATTGATCGGAATCGATTTTTTTTCAGTAAAATTGATAAAAATCGGCCATTTTTGACACATTTGTAAACAAAAGTTAATTCTCGGTTTTAAAAATCATGCAAAAATAAAATATATATTTCTATTGACAGCCGGGCGTGTTCATTGTTAAGTATGGTGGAGCAGAGGATAAATAATTTCATTCATTTGTGTATAAATCCTGAAAATTTCATTAAAATCCGACAATTATTTGATTTGCAAGAATTTCCAAATAGTGTGTCAGTCACCGCAAAAAAAGAGGCTAAAATTTCCTATGCTAAAAGTTAATTTGATTAAAAAACTTGTTTTTCTTGTGCCAGCCACAAGAAAAGCAAGTTTTTTTAATCAAAATTTGAATGTTCTTAAAAAGAAGTAAAAAAAATTAATTAAACAAATACTTTGATCCTTCCTAGCATATCTATTTTGACGATAAACACGTTTTCATTTTGGAGCATGTTTTCATCACGGTATGCTGACTTTTTTAGCATTTTCGTGGAGGTACCTACACCAATTTCTTCATTATTGCACTGTTGAGGTTCTTTATTTCTTTAAATTTTTTATTTTATTTTTCGCGCGATTTTTAACAGCCAGGAATAACAGTAGAAAACTATTGTTGATGGAAGTTCCCAGGCATAAACAAACGTTATTTTCATTATGTTTTAAGCAAAAAGTAAGTATTAATTACTTTCTTATAAATTTACTTTGAATTTTATTGGATTTTTTGATTCTTAAATTTGTTTTTTACCATTTTTCGTCTATAATGGTGGCCAAGTGAGTGACGAGTGAACGAACGTGAGAATAATATTTTTTTTTATAAAAAGCCTAAAATAAACAAAAAAACATTTATTTACATGCGGAAATTATTTTTTCAGGAAGTCCATGGCGGTACGCATTAATCATAATTACTTTATTAATCACTCAGTTGATTTTTTGCTCTTAAATAGTTAACCTGTATAACCGAATCATTTTAAAAATAAAATTTAACCGAGCAAATGTACTTGTGCCGTCTGAACACTTTTTTCTCCTGTCGACCGGTTGCTGTAACTGACACACCACATTATCGGTTCACACCCACACGTGTAGATCGTTCACTCTTTTATATCATGACATCCCCTCCTTTTGACGTGCAACTTCCAACTCGTTTGTTACAGCAGCCAGCCATGTGCTGCTGGGTGTTAGGAAAGAGGAGCACAAAGCAGGACTCATCAGTTGGGCAAAGCAACTGATTATGATTAGAGTCAAAGCTGTTCAACAAAAAGAGTAAGACTACTATTGAAAGGCAACAAGACAAAAAGAAAGAAAAAATTGTCATCTCTCAGATTAAGTAACGCGATCGCACACACATAATCAAGCAAGATGGATTCTGTGTTCACGGATACAGAAAACTCGAGCAGTTCTGACTTCACAGGAGAATATGCCGAGGATCTATCTTATTCGTCATTGCAGGATATACCCGATTCCGTGTTGTACAGGGCATCTGAACTCCGAGCCCTTTCTCTAGCAAATAATCAATTATCACCTTGTATAGGGCGAAGGATCGCCGATTTTCGGAATTTGGTCAAACTTGACATCAGTAATAATGGCCTATTCCACTTACGTGAAGAAATAAGCGGACTGATAAAATTACGAACTTTAATCGCACGTAATAACTATCTCTGCTCGGAAAACATCCCTAAGTCTCTGGCTATTATGAAGACTTTGGAAGTAGTCAATATGAGTGGTAATCAATTTATAGACGTACCACCAATCTTCTTTAAATTGGAAAAACTTCGCTACTTACACATGGGCGCAAACCAGATTAAAGAACTTCCTATACAAATCAAAGAACTAACTCAGTAAGTAACTTTGATTGGTGTCTATTGTGTTAAAATAAAAATGTTTTAAAATAAACGGATGAGTTGGAGAAAGTTAGATGATAATCTTTTTCGTGATTATGGCTACAACTTAAAATAACTTCTTTTTTTTTTGCTTAAATTTACGATCTGTCACAATTGATATCAGAAAATACAAAATATTTTCTTTATTTAATTTTGTAATTCTACTTTAGTCAGTAGTTTTTAAATCTTTTGGAAAAATACAATAAAATAAGCTTTGATTTGTTTTAATTTTAAAACAAAGCTCTCGAATTATTTTTAAATTTTACTTTTAAAAGGATGATTGATTACTTAGCAATAATTAACTTTTTAAGTTCATTACGAATTTTGAAAACTACAGAAAATTTTTTACAGTACACTTTTTAGTACACTACTCTTTAAACACTAAAGACTGATTGCCTTTTTACAATTTCTTTTATTGAAGATGAAACATTGAAAAATGTCAGAAATTAAGTTGGTTCTCGGTCGTTCTTTATGATCAATTTAGTGTGATTATTTAAGGATTTTAATTTACTACTTTAACTACCATGTTCCCGCAAACAAAATGTAATCAAATGAACTGCATTATTACTACCATCCATTATATAACTCATTTTTAAAAATAATCAACGCGGGAATAATTTGTCATTTTTTTTAGTGTTAAGTAAAAAATCAATTTAATGGGCTTCATAATTTTACGAACTTTTTCTTGATTGTTTAAAGTTTTCTCAGGAAGGTTTTAAAAATTAAAGACGACGTTGCATTGATTCGTTTTTTATCGTAATGGTAAAAAAATTGCTGATAAATTTCTTTTCATACGAAAATTAATTAGCAAAATTAACAGTTGTTTACCAGCTTAAAAATTGTCAGTATTTATTTTCTGTTTTTGCATTTTTTCTAAATAAGAAGAATAAGTTAACGTTTGATTTGGCACAAGGCCACAAATATGGAGCTGTCATTTATTGAGCAATAATGTTTTTTATGCTCGTTTTTTTTTTTTTTTTTTTTTTTTTTAATTTATTCTAGTCTGTTGGGTTTCCTGATATTTGCTTCGTTGTGAGAAACAGCCAGTGACAAAAAAAGAAAGAATAATAGCTTTACTATACTCACTGTACGTTTCAGCCTTAAGCAAAAGAATAAAATGAGGAAAATAAAATACTATTTAATAAAAATAATTAACCTCTAAAGTCTAAAATAGTATTAAAATTAAAGTTAAAAAACTTGACAATCTTTATTAATTTTTATTATTATAATTTTTTTTTCTATTATTGAAATGAAAGTCATCAAATATTTTTAAAGGGCAATAAAAAACAAAACAAAGATAAAATAATAATAGTAAATAATGATAAAAAATAAAATGAATGTTTATCAAATACACCTTTACCAGAACAATTTGCTTGAAGTCGGTGTGGTGATTTTTTTTTTTTTTTTTATAGACGATGTTCTCTACTTTAGTCTTCAATGTTATCGTTCGTTGTTCAGAGAATAATTGAGTAGATTTGTTTTTTAAATTTTAAATAAATAATTATAATGAAAATTTTAAAAAGAAAACAATTCTTGTGTAAAAATTCATTATTCATCGGTAAAAAAAGCAATAAAAAAGTAAAAGCATTTAAAAAAAAAAAAAAAAAAAAGCGTTTAAATAAAAAGTAAAACTAAAAGCGTTTTATTTTTATTTTACGATTCAGAACCGATCTTTTCTAACTGCGTGGTCCTAAAAAATCTCATGATATATTTTTTTTTAATTCTCCAAGAATTTGTCCTCATAATAAAGCTAAAAAGCATTTCTCAAAATTTCATAAATTAGTGGTGTGTGGGTAAAACATGTAAAAAAAAAAAAAAAAAAGTTTTTACAAAGATTTTCTGAAAAAGAAAGATTAAAAAAAAAAAACTTCATCTATTTGTAAATAAGTCCTGAAAGTTTAATTAAAATTCGGCGATTATTTGATTTTTGTAAGACTTTCCAAATCAATGTTTTTATTACGGGGAAAAAGATGCTCAAATTCCCCATACTAATTTAAGGTCACCTGCTGACGCAAGAAACAAAAATACCAAAATTTTGAAGGTTCTAAAAAGAAAAAGCATTAAAATTTAAATATACTTTCTTTGGTCTTTGCTATTTTAGTGATAAAATTGTTTTTTGGGGGTAATTTTTTGTATGCCGCGATGCTCATATTTTTTTTTATTTAATGATTCCTAACCATAAAAAAGTAAATAAATGATGTAATAAGACAAAAAATAAATTACATAATTTTTTTGTTTTTTAGAATAATGTCTAATATTCTTTTTTTTTTTTATTTGCATGTTTTTTTTTTTTTAAGTTTTTAAATCCTTGTGATTATTTTCATAAAATAAAAAAAAATATGCACTATTTTTTTTTTCCCCTGTGTAAGTAAATTTTATTGATTTGTTATTGTTTTCACTCAGTGATCATCAGCACATTTACAAATTTTCTAAATTTAGATTGAACCCCTACTTTAGGAGGAATTCACTCATTCTACTTTAAAACTTGATTTTCCTCAAAAACAAAAATTAAAGTCCCCAAAGAAAGGGAAGAAGGTCATATTCGTCAGCCTAAGTAGGTGAAATTACAGAGGAAACTTATTATTTCCTCACAAAAATACACTGATTTGCTCAACCGAATCTAAAAACTATTTTTAAAATAATGAATATTCTATGCCAGTCAAAAATTTAACGAATTCATTTTTTTCAGATAGTTTTTTTTAGTTCTGTTTAATAATTTGATAGTAAGAAATAATTTCCCTTATGTAAAATAGTCACTCACAGAATTTTCTACGGTGTAATCCGAATGTACATTTTTAAATGAATATTAGTTGAATATTGTTGGATGGGTACGTGGACTGTACTGTTGTAAAACCCGTAACCGTTCTCGTTTTTTTTTTTTTTTTTTTTTTTTTAATATATGTTTAAAATATCAACACTCTGTTTGGACAAATGTTCGGCATTAAATAAACTAAAGTGAAAAGTCGAATGAAAGATTGTTTTCTTTGGTCTGCTTTCAAAATCAGCATTAGAAACCGTGGCTTTCACAAGGCATTTCGGATAAATTTCTGACTTTTTTTTTTTTTTTTTTTTTTTTTACACCATTTGAAACAATGCTTTTTTAGAAATAAAATGTCTTATTGTTTTACAACCACACTGTACATTTTATCCAATTTTTCTCAGCACTTGAAATGAAAATTACTTCTTTTCTCTACGCTTTCCTAACAGAAGAAGCAGACCTTCCAAGCACATGTTCAATTCCAATATGATCTTTTTGTCTTTTAAACTAATCTTAACCTTTTTGATGGGTGCCTAGGAGTGACTTCAACATTGCATCAACTAAAGTTGATGCAATGTTGAAGTCAGGATTTCAAATACAAATTGGAGCAGTACAAGTTTCTTATCCTTTTTTTATATTGAACAAAGATATCTTTGTGTCACAGAGGAAACTTACTGGCAAAATATAGGAGTACAATTGCGAATATTTTATGTACCATATCCTTTGAGGATGTGGGCGATTGATCATTTATGTCCACAACTTTCTGTCCTTTGTAGCTTGAAGTAAATGGTTTCTGCTTCCCAGTTCTGCCATTCATTTACACAAGTTCATTAGGTAGGTTACACATTGTACTCCTTGCTGTACCCTTTTCTTACCAAATGCAATTCCCAAGCACCACTCAAGGTAGAAGGTTATTGAATAAGGTGATTGTATAGCTGTAAAAGATAATTATATATAGGATAGGTAATGGTTGACCCTATACCTGAAGAGTTTAAGCTTGGAAGCGTCCTCTCAGATGTCTGTTCCACAAGTTATTTATGGGGAAACAACTGTGAGTTGAACTTCCTTCTTACCAAAGGACATGAGAATGATTCAACCCTGTGTGTATATGGCATGGTGGGTCCCAGATATAAAGGTCTGAATTGGTGGAACTAAAGAATATAGCTCATCTGCACATTTGCCATGGAAATAGTGATAGTAACGATAGGCTTGCAATGTTTTTTCTGTAGGGTTGAAAATAATTCATAACCCACAAGGCTGCATAAATACTTTTGAACTCTGTAAGGCTGGAAAGTGAAGTCTGGGCAGCTGTAGCCCAGATATAACAGCAATATTTTATTTTTGGTCTGATCTGACTCCTAATAGAGCATAGCAGGAGATGTCAGGTACTTTCTGGAGCAGTACAAGGAACCAACTGTTTTTGCTGTCTCTTTAGTGATGGATTGTATCTTCAATATGTCCTGTGTATATGAAATCCTTTTCCTCATATGTCCTAGAAACTTTCTGATTCTAAATACAATTATCCTTTTTGTTACCATTTTCCTTAGTTACCTTGTTGTTCACAAGCTTCAGCTATGATATTCTAAGCATCCTATGTTGCCTCAAGTCTACTCTTCATCTGTAATGAAATTTCACTGCCATATACAAAGATTGATATTAGATAGCAATTCAGCACTCTTTTCTTTATTTCTAGGGCAGCTATGTGGTAAATAATATAAGACTACTATCCAAAATTCCAATTATACAATTGACTGACACTATTTCCAAACAGACGACTTCACAATATGACGTTCTTTCTTTTGATGTGTTTAACTACTGTTAGTGTTAACCATGTATAGTGTGTGTAGTACTACTTCTTGCTTACCTTCTTTCTAATGTTCCATCAGGCTAAAAGATCATATATTTATGATTAGATTATATTTGTAATACACTATATCTATTTAGACTATTTTCTCAAGCTTTAATCCCTTGTGGATTCAATAAAGCCTAATCTGTTTTTAAGGAAACGTGTGGCATTTTGCAGGCCACATGTTTCATGAATCTAAATTCATTTTAGAGGATTTTTCAAAATATTATTTTTGCTTGCTTCATGTCTTATATGAACACTATTCATTTTCCTATTGCTTATAAAATAAATCAGTGAATAAACAATGGGTTGCAAAAGTATTTATACCTCTATCAAAAAAACAATTTTTGAGAC